CATCTGACAGTAATAAACTGTCGCTATCGCTTTCCTCGTTGAAATTGACTATAACTGGCTCTATGATGGTGTCGATGTGGTGGTCAAGCTGCCACATTTTTGTTTCTTCCTTCAAAACATGACGGATAGCATTCTGCCAAGCTTCGGGTGTTACTAGCTGTATGGAAGTATCAAGTAAAACCTTAACGTCTGGTAATTTGAAGGTTGTGTTATGGCGCACAATATAACCCTTCACTTGAGCCCAGATGAGCTCTATTGGGTTCAGTTCACAGTGGTAGGGCGGTAACCGCAGCACAGTGACACCACATTGATGGGCCATCTCATCAGTCACGTAACTAATGTTCGCAGGTTTGTGCTGTTTAAGTTTTTCATACAATTCCGCTTACACACATGAATCGTCAAACGGGATTCCTTTTTCGCGCAACCATTGCTGCATGTCACTTTTTAGAGATCCCATAGTCGGTACACGTTCGGCTCGACGACTATGGTAGGAAGCATTATCCATGACGATCACAGAGTTGGGCTCAACTCGCTGAAGCACCCCTTGAAACCAGCTCTCGAAGCAGCTGGCATTCATTTCGTCATGGTAATCACCTCCTTTCTTAGAGACGAAAATCAAGTCACACTCTTCTAAAAAGCCACTATCGCTACCAATATGAGTTACGATCAATCTTTGACCTTTCCCTGACGGTCCACGAAGACATGTTGACAAACCTTCAATGCTTGCTTGTCGGTTACTCACTACGTTTTTGTCTATCCAGGTTTTTTTAACTGGGTGACTTGCATTTACCCATGTCTCGTCCAAATAATAGATTTTTCTGCTTTGTTGCTTATATTCAATCATTTCGCGTAGGTATTTTCGACGCCAGGCGACTATTTCAGGTCTCTCTATCAATACCGACTTCCGATTACGCGTTTCGTAACGAAAATTAATTTCGTGCAGGGATTTCCTCATTACCTCGACGCTCATTTGGGGTATAATTTCATTTTCCTTGATCGCTGCATGTACAGCCTTGAGGGTTGGTATCTCATTCCTAAAGAAGAATGAATGTACGGTTCGAATTAACGCCATTTTGCTATCGTCATCCAATTTAACGGCCTTTCGTCCCTTCAAATTAAACTTTGGATCAGTAGTAGCTCCAGTTTTCTTCTTTTCATGCACCACCCTGCGAATGGTCCACTCTGGAACGCCTGTCATACTTTCACAACGCGCGAGTGCATCTCCCTGCGACATAGTTCTGTTCAGATAATTGAACACGTTGAGCACGATTTCTTTCGCGTCCCACTTCAGTGCTTTACGAAGCCGTCTACTTGTTCCCTGGCATTCAGTACTTCCACTCGTGCCATTTGTACTCTCCATGATTAAGTATAACCAAAACAGTAACCACAGAAACCACAACAATAACAATTACACAACAATTCTTATAAAAACACACAATATGCGATCGCTCAACGAAACACGTTCCAATGCGTTGCCGACGCCTATGAGTCTGCCGGTCGAGGCACGTCTTTGATTTCATTGGTTCTACCGGCGGAGAACAATCAGCCATTATTTCCATCTCTGTCTGTGCTGTTGACCACCGCAAAGCCACAGAAACGACATATGTCGTACGCTGTACTGGAAGGAAGCCGGGATCGAGCTCTGATCACGTGTTGATCACGCGTATGAGTCAGTACAGTTTTAAATAGTTGTAGTATAGTCTCCTAAGCAAACTTCCATCCTACGGCCTCCCAAAGAAGCTTTACAGATGAATGGCTGCCTCCCTCTCAAACCTCAAGATATCCGTCGTGATTTGTGGGTTCACCTCTTGATCCCACAACGTCAACGCGGGTGTTCCCCAGGAATTGGTCTGGGCTCCGACACTGTTCCTCTTAGATATCAACGACCTCATTTCCGGTACGATGAATCTAATCCTCAGCTTTGCTGATTTCAGCGCTCTACATGCAAGAATTCAGAGCGACAAGCCAATCTCTGTCGATGAGCTGACAAAAAGAAGATTAGCAGTAACTTCTCATTATCGTTGCACTTATCACTGCTTGGGGACGCAACAATCTTCTACAGTTTAATACTTCCAAAACACAGTACGATATCTTGACGAACAAAAAGCGTCCTAGCGGTCATCCGGTTTCAATGGTCGAGTTCTGTCAAAGAGCCGTTCATTCCGGCTGGTTGTAGTCCAGGTCACTGAGGTCTTGATCCGGCACGAACACATCTCGTCAATAGCGGCAGCTGCTGAGAAAAAGCTAGGTTATTTGTTTAGGGTTTAGGGCTGAAAGGAACTTTTCTCCACATGACTTCATCACTCTATAAAGACCTAGCCCCGAGTTTTGCTCACATGTACAGAAGAGGGCTGTTCGACTGATCGATTACTCTTGTCTAAGACAGACAGTTTCGGGAACTTTTAGCACCGGTAGGCCGTCGGCGATCTAGCCATCTGCTTCCGCTACACCAATGGGCTTTGCTCCTCAGACCTGTCCTCTCCCCTCCATGATGCCGCCCCCGACGTGGCTACCAGCCAGACCCGCTTGACTTCAGCCTCCCATCCTAACCTGTCGAACTTCGTACATCCAGAACTGGCCGATACGACCGCTTTTTTGTCCCTAGGGTGTTGAGATTGTGGAACAAGTTCTACTAACCTTAGGCAGTACAAAAATCGGATAAACAAAGTTTATTTGGGATCTTCACAGCAGGCGCGGCTGCTTCGGTGTACAAAAAATTGTATAGTCAAACGCTGGAATCGAGATTTTGAGTGAGGAAGGACCAATTTGTCAGTCATCCACCTGTGTCAGTACCGACTGAGCAAAACATTAAAAAAGTGCATGATTTGATCTTTCAAGATTTACGTGTTGCACTACAGAGACCTTTTATGCAAACTTAATCTAAAAATTGCTTTCAAAGAGAAACGTTTGGGGGAGGCTGACAACTAGCGTGACAAGGATAATGCTCCAAGCCTTACCTTCTGCATTGCTATGTCTGCCTTACATCAAGCAGGCATTCAATTATAGAGCTGGAATAGGGCTCGTTTTCATTGAAATGCTGTATCACCGATGTTGGTTGATGTTAGTAGGGATCATGTAGAAAAATAAAAGATATTATTTAAATGTAGCTTTATTGCAAGGAGGTTGAGTGTAAAGCACTGAGATCAATCCTCGTATATTTTGGCCACTACTCTTTCAAAGAATAAATAAAAAAATATTTTAACATTCTATGCATATACTGTATGTTTCACTCTAAGACTTAAATACGAATTGTTGAGATATACATTGAGTATAATGGCACTTCGTTTTTATGAATTAGTGAAAGAAATTAAGTTGATCTACTTGACTCTACTTCAGTTAAGCATGAGCGTATGAACGCGTTGCATGCTTAAAACGATAAGCACATAAATATTTGATTCCTATGAAAGCTTCGTGCATATCCTGAATTGTTACATAGGTTTCAAGTAAATATTGTTCGCTAACCAATTGTAACAAGAATAAGTGTATGTTTGTATCCTCAAGCTCATAAGTGCTTCATTACTTATGTATAATAGTATGTGCCTTCTGCATATCATGCAATGGTAATCGTATCATCTTAATGTTAATACTTTAGGATAGGATGATAAGTAGGTTTATGTATACGAGTACCTATTATGTGTTGACTTTTCATAGGTAACATCATAAGGGCATCTAATTTTTCTGAAAAAAAAATCGAAAAAACACGTTGCTAAGTAATACCTATTTTAACAAGAAGTTTGAGTGTGCTGGTGGCAACAAAAATCCGAGAGGATTTTTGCACCTGCACGAATGTTTTTTATACATGCATACATAATAAATATGTTAGTATTAATTTGAAAACTGAAAGACTGGCAATTTATTCAATCACAAAATACTACAAACTTAATTTTATTTATGGTACCATTAAAATATAAATTGCAATTTTGGTACACAGTAGGAGTTTTGTTTGAAATTTTTGTTAAGTCGTTAATAACGTTGGGTGTAAGTAATTCATTAATGTTGTGTTGATGGGTCCAGCTGTAGAGTGAGAAGCTCGAGGAGTAGTTGCAGGATCTTCCGTTTTCTGTTTTTTAACTAGAGGTTCTGAGGCGTCACTTCTAAGGGTGTTTATGATGTTGGAATAATGCTCATTATCCATTTGCAGATAAAGCTGAGTTGGATGAAGCGTGGCTAGTAATTTTAATTAAATGTTGTTCACTTACCCCTGCTTTAGCCAGGTTACTGACTGCTGTCGACCGCATAGAGTGGTTTGTTATTTTTATTTCTTTTGTATTTAATCCTGCCTTCTCTGCTGCTTCTTTAGTCCATTTCGAAAGTTCGTTTTTCCAACTGTAGTGTTTTTTTACCATCCACTTGATTGTTCTTTGGTAGGTATTGTAATTTTTTGGTGACAACAGCTGTCAGGGTTTGCTCGAACAAACCGAAGACAGGTGCTGTCATACAATTTTGTAACCATTTGTAATTTAAAACTGCGCGTTTCTGATTGGTAGAAATAGTCCGAATGAAATAGTCATTACAACACCTCAAAATTAATCCGTGTACCAAGTCAAAAAGCCTAGGTGTTTCCTCTTAAACTAAGCATATCTGTTTTTCTTTGTTCTTCCCCTTTTTTCTTCTCTTTCCCTTTCTCTTTTTCCTTGACTTTGTCTGGTTTCTGGGCAACCAGGACTGACAGATTCGACTAACGTACATCAGACAGTGACTAATGGGCAAAGGTCCTACGGACCGCCCAGACAAATAAATGACGAATAGTAGTATAGTCATTAAAATTCTTCCTTGACTTTGTCTGGTTTCTGGGCAACCAGGACTGGCAGATTCGACTAACGTACATTAGATAGTGACTAATCGGCAAAGGTCTTACAGACCGCTCAGACAAATAAATGACGAATAGTAGTAGTCATTAAAAATTCACCACAATGTTCGTTTGATCATATACACGTAATTTGTGAGATGGAGATAATAAAAATTAAAGAAGTTGTGTTTATTAAATTTTATTTATAATTGGATGTTTCACAGATATGTGATACTGTACTATACAATACAACTAAGAGTCAGATACATTTATAAAGCTAATGTGACATTAGAGTGCACTGAACTGAAAAGTCTTTAAAAGGATAGCAGATATGAATTGCATAAAACCCTCTTTATGGCTCCATTTTAATTCGGACAATATGCGTAACTTGTTATAACAACATAATTGACTAGATTGGTAATGAAGTTTGTTGCTTTTCTGTATTTTCACGGCGAAATACAAGTAGTTCAACGAAAAACACTATCAAGCTTATTAAGTGACCAAGACACAGTATAGCAAAAGCGCCCTCTACATTTGTAAGTTTCAGCTTGTGTACTGTCTGCTGCCGTCGGTCGTATCTCATAGCCTTCTGCACGTTTGAGTCCATGTATAGTAACGCTCCCTGAAGAAAAATCAATATTGCTTTATTGGCAAAGCAACTTATTTAAAATCAATAAATACCGCGACCAGGGTAGGAAGATTTATTACTATGATGAAACGTGGATAAATGCAGAACATACAAAACCTAAAGTATGGACTAGCTCTACACTTAAATCAGCAAGACAAGCCTTCTTAGATGGACTAACCACTGGCCTAAAGAATCCGTCAGGTACGTGTATCTAACCAAGTCGTCATTTGTGTTGGTCTCAAGTAGACTGAATCTATGAGCCCAAGCTGAAAACTTAGCAACACTAAACTTGCTATATCTGGTAAATTTGGAACCAACACCTGTTATAATCTTAATGTTATTGACGAAATGGCTAAAAACCAAAAGAAGACCGTTTTAAGGCGACCCCCTTATCACTGCGAATAAATCCCATTGAAATGATTTATTAAAAACTAGGTGGTTTCAAATAACATTCAAGTTTTCTAACGTGAAAAATTTGTTTCATGAAACTCTCATCAGAGTGTTGGAAAACCATTGGAAAGATTGCATCCGTTACGTTCAAGAGATAATCGAAACAAAGATGTGGGATCTGGACAATATGTTCGATATTCAAATTGAACCTGTAATAATTAATATTAACCATTCGGACGATGATTCAAGTACTTCCAGCGGATAAAGAATTGTGTACTTTCTATAAAAAGAATTATTCATTCTGTTAGATTATTTCAAGACCATTGAGGAGAATACGGACCTGTACAATCTCGCTTTTGGGCATGTTGTGTTTTGCCAGGGCGTAAATGGACTACGAATGGGGTATCGGTGTGTAGAATTACCGGAGTTGAAAGCATATAAGTATCCTAATGCTAAAAAATTTAGAACCAATTATTTGTATTATATCATTTTGTATTTATTGATCACCTCGCTCTCCCAGTAATAAGCCAGTCCAGATTCAACCACCCTCAAGATGAAATCGTTTAACATAGGTGTCAGAGCAGAACTTTTCCTCAGCATATAACAACATAACCCGAAATAGAACTCTTCTTGCATCAGATGAAAGTTATCCATAACATCTTCCTTTAGAAAAGGCCCAACAGCATAGTTATCTGAAATAAGATAGCTGAATAAATTCGTAGCATTTTAAAGCAAAAGATATAGGAATAAAATAGCTTTTGCATTTTTATCTCTATCCGGGCGGCATTTTAACACTGTGGTATAGGATTCGGCACCAGCCTTAATTTTATTGGTCAATTTCAATTTACTCAACCAATAACAAGCCGGGTGCCGAAATCACTACCGGAATGTTAAACAGTGCTGAGCATGGGGTCAGAATGATATCAATTTAAATTTAAATTTACTTACCTTCCGCTAAAAATACGTAAGATAATAATCAACGCACGTTGTTTCCTATTACGATATTTAGTGATTTTAAAATTAATAATTTGGTTTAGCAATAAGAACAATCTCATGAAAAGTTTAAAATTATATATTATAAAAAATAACTGAATTTAAAAAGAATGCAAAGAAATGTAAAAATCTAAAAAATCATATACTTTTTTTGGATTTTTGTATAAATAATCCGCGGGTGGAAAAGTGGTATTTTCCTCCCATGTAATGTAAGAAGCTAAATTCTAATATCTATACACAGAGTGTATTTTCTCATTCAAGTACAGCAATTATCATTTCAGGGAAGAAATTATCACTTTTCGTGAAAAGGTAGTAGAAAATAAACATATTAAATGTGAATGGTTATTGGTCCGTTCAAAAATAAACAAGAAAATTAAAAAAACAAGAATATTCAAAAATAAAAAAAGAAAATTCGTAAATTAACGAAAAAATAATGTAATAGGTTTTAGTGACTTGTTCCATGAGACTTAGCATTCGGTAAATTTTGCTTTACATTGAGTGCTTCTTTTTCTTTTTCTTGGTGCGCCTTCTTCCTTTGGTGGCCGACCAATCGGTAACCTTTTGCAACCCCTTATAATCCCTACTTATTTCGGGTCACTCATGAAGGCAACCTCCCCGACCAAAAAACTAAATTAACACACAAATACTCCAGATTTGCCAAAAAAATAATTTCATCAACTGATTTCCTCTTTTGAAGTCAATATTTTTTCATCAAATTAATATGGGACTACCCCAGAGGCATTTATACCCTTTCATTTAAAAAAATAATTATCATAATCTGATGAGCCATCTTGAAAAAATCGGTAAACACACATAGAAAAAATATAGCTGACGAATTGAAAACCTCCATCTTTTGGGAAGTCGGTTAAAAATATATTTTGCATTCGTTTAAACAATATTATGCCCTTCGTGCGCCTTGAATTTTCGAAGTAGGTATTCTGAAAATCAGTTCTAACCCAAACAAGAACAATCTAGCTCGAAAACATTCAAAAAAGTCTAGCTCCAAAAATAAAAAAGCTACGGTCGTGATTAGAATTAAATAAATAATCCTTTACAATAACAATACACTTACTTATTTATATACAAGGCGACGCGGATTTGCGAGACCACATTTGAATCGCCAAGTTGTAAGAGTTTCTACCTCATAATCTCTCAGCCACTGCATAGTGCCTTCTCCGTCTGTAAACTTTCCCCTGTATATATTGTTTTTTATTTTAACGCAACCTTCCATTGTTCTGCTCAACTCGAAACGTATTAAAAACGATGACGCTTGAACTTTGAGGTTATAATATCTAACGTAAACTGCGTAAACGATAAAGAACTTCCTTACGCATCGGCGACCTTCGAAATTCCGAACTGTATTTCGGTAATCCTCAACATTCGAGTAGTGATTTCAGCACTCAATATATTAGTAGAAGCAATTTAAATTGATAACATTATGACACTGTTTTCAGCACTGTTTTAACATTCCGGTAGTGATTTCGGCACCCGGCTTGTCATTGGTTGAATAAATTGAAATTGACCAATAAAATTAAGGCTGGTGCCGAACCCTATACCATAGTGTTAAAATGCATCCGGGCGTAAATTGTACTATGGATAGGCTTTCCGGGCGTTAAGTCCCACGTTTCTGTCCATTTTTTCTTGATACTCTAGGGCGGTGAAGTAGCTTTGGCGCCCGCAATCTTTGAATTAACTTATGTTGAAAACAATACGGTAAGCATGACAACTGCTTATACCATTGATTCCCAAGGTGGTCTATATCGACCCCTAGGGGTCTATGACAACCTGCAAGGGGTCTACGTCAGCGAAAAAAAATTTCGGGGTCCATGAAATGAATATGGGGGTCCACGATAGTGGATCTCAACACATACACTGATAGTACCTATTTACTTACATCATACTATCTTATAATATCAAAACATATACATTATTCATAAAAGTACCTATGAAGTAAAAAAATTATTATATATGTTTATAAAATTGTGTAAGTTGTTGGATGTTGGTATTCGCTTTGCGGTCGCAATACATTTTGAACTTGTAAAAACCTGAGAGTCGCAGTCTCAGAGCTTCGCTACCTTGCACTGACTTGTTCAATTCGTCACTCTATAAATACGAATGTGGGACAAATACGTTTATTCGTTTCCTGAATCTTGAAAAGGAAAGTGCTAAGAAAATATTTTAAAAAATATAAACAGATAGTATATCACACAAATTATAGTGAGTCAGTGTTATTTTGTTTGAGAGTGCTGGAGAAAAGTAAGTATAGTACATTATTTTTTATTAAATTTTAGTTTTGTACTCGTAGTTAGCAAAGATAGATAAATTACGCCAATCATGACTTTAGTTATTAGTAGTTAAATATTCAATCATGCAAAATTACACGAGTACTCCTCAATAGTTTCTTTTTGAAAGTTTTAGCAATCGGTAATATAATTACAGTGCAATCTTCGTAATTCGAGCTAATTGTTGCAAGAAGATGTTCGAATTATGGAATGTTTTCGGAAAAATCAAAAAATATTTTTGATATACAGCTGCTGGATTTTCTGTCTTATTTAAATGATTTAATTTTGCCCACAGATGACTGATGCCATGTCAGAATCTAAAAAGAAATGTAGACAGTACAGTGTTGATTATTTGGAATTTGGCTTCATTCCATCATTGCCGGACAAACAATCGCGTATGTGCCTTTTATGCAACAAAGTTTTGGGTAATGACGCTATGAAACCATAAAAACTGCAAGATCATCTGAGAAGATGCCACCCTGATAAAACAGAGAAAGATTTGAAATACTTTCAAACACTCAAAGATAAATTTCAGAAGAGACCTACACTGGACAGAATGTTCGCTTCGACGTCGCAAAGAAATGATGATGGTTACTTATAGCAAAATCCGGAAAACCGCATACTATGGGAGAGAAGTTAATTTTGCCAGCCGTTGAAGAGGTTTTAAAAACTGTTTTGCACAAACCTGCATCTGATATCATTAAAAGAATTCCCTTAAGCAACAATACTGTTGAAAGACGTATTGATGAAATGAGTTCTGATATTGAAAGCTTCTTATGTAATTATTTGCAAACGACCCATTTCTCTATACAACTGGACGATTCAACTTTACCTAATAATGCAGCATTATTATTGGCATATGTTCGTTTTATTATGATCAAGAAATCTACGAAGAACTGCTCTCCGCAAGACCTTTGATAACCGACACTAAAGGTGAATCAATATTTCATGTTTTGAAGGATTACTTCATTGAAAAAGCAATTCCTTTATCAAATATAATATCAGTAGCTACAGATGGAGCACGTACCATGGTTGGACGTTATCGTGGATTTATAAGCTATTTAAAACAAAATGTGTCAGGGGTGTTAGCAATACATTGCGTCATCCATCGACAACATTTAGTTGCTAAAAATTTGAGTGTTAGATTGCACGAATCACTTCATTTAGTCATTGATGCAGTAAACCGAATCCGAAGCAACGCGTTGAATACGCGGTTATTTGCGCAAGAAACACTTTCATCAATTAGTCCTTCACCCTGAAGTACGCTGGCTGTCGAAAGGCTTATGTTTGACAAGATTTTTTGCACTTTTTGAGATACTAAAGATAAAATTTTAAAAGAAATTTTAATGAAGAGGAAAACAGACATCGCCTATTTAACAGATTTGTTTACAAAATTTAATATGGTTAATTTGCAATTACAAGGCGACAGTTTAAATTTGATTAAAACAAAGTGCATCTTATCAGCGTTTCTTGCCCGAGTTAAACTAATGAAGCAAAATATTGGACGGGGCGAATTTTCTCAGTTCCCCAATTTGTCACAGACAAGCTGCCAGGAAGACGACGTTTCAACTTACGTTCAACATTTAAATGCCCTTTATACAGATTTAAAATCTAGGTTTGAGGATATCTTGACTATGGTAATACCACTGTGGATAATTAATCCATATGGTGGCATAGAAGAAACGAATGTCATAATACAAGAGGAACTGACTGAACTAAGTACAAACGAAGAACTTAAGGTTCAGTTTAAAAACGGATATCAGCAATTCTGGCTACCCAACACGGAAAAACATGGCAAGGGGTCTACGACACAAAAAAGTTTGGGGAACTCTGGCTTATACATTTTTTATGTATACCGAGCACAATAAGCATTTATGATCACCTGCACTTCGCATCTTGGACCCTAATTTCACGCCGTAGGTCATCCACGTCCTATGCATGCCCTAGATATATAAATAACTATTACTTACGGCTTGGTAGTCTCTCTAATATAAATGCAAAATTATGTGTGAGCGACAATGCTCTCAACTCCTCGTCAGAATGCACTCTGAATCTTCGCACAATGTCTATGATAACAGGCTGAAAAATAAGGAGGAGTTACATGATCATGATACTTCTAAAGGACTCTGTTGTGTGGCCAAATTAATTTCTATTTATTGTACGACGTTTCGCCCCCCATTAAAACAGCTCCGAATTTCGTTTACAAAAACTGGCTTTGAAACTTCCGAAGTATTGAAATGAATTTTCTAGAATATATATTTCTAGATACTAGTATGTTTAGTTATAATGGCTATCTAATTTAATGATAATAATAACAGTAATTTATTTCCAACAGGCAGACACACCCAATTGCAAGAAATATCAATAAATCACAATAAATAACAATAATATACTACCTTACAACTTCATCAAGGTAAAATTTGATGACGCGAGATTTAGTGTTATTAAATTGGGTTACTGATACCATTGAATAGTGTACACATTCTATGACCGGGAGACTTACGCAAAACATTGGTGTTTCAGAAATCACAGTAAGATGTAATACGATAACGGTTACCTAAGCGAGGAACATTGAAACCTATGTTACTTAAAATACATGAACAATAAATGTTATTGTGAAGTAAACTGAACAAAAAAGACAGAGCGGAAATATATCGGCGTACTTCAAGCGGTTTGATATCAAAAGTTTTGAGAAATACGTTGTGGTGGATACGAGTAGAAACCATTGCTTCGCAATCTGCTAATGCCCAGATAAGCAATGCGTATTCAAGTTGACCTCTGACGTATGTTAGATTTAGAAGCTTGACTGTTTCAACGTTCGAGAAACCTGACCAGTTTCTAACACTAGCATTCGAGAAGCAGGCGATGTGATGTTATTTATGTGATCATTGAAAGTGAACTATCAAATGTGTTGCTGTTACTCCTTTCTAGCCTTACCTGATTAATACTCTCATACATCATAAAGCATAACATTTTATTTCCTACAACATGTTACTACTTTACATTTTGACACATTTAGTGTGAGGAAATTTTTGGCACACCATGAAATGATAATTTTCAAATTATATTGACGAAAATGGCAGTCTTACGATACTATTATAAATTATAATTATTAAGAATTATGAGGTACTGTTTTACGAATCCTGTCATGATTGTCATTCTATTTTGTATGTCTTCAACGTTTCAAATCATTTCTGATAGAGGTTCAAACACCACCTACAAACGTTTGCAAGTCTTTGGTAACTTCGGAGTAAGCTATAAGACAAAATTGATTTGTTGTCTCCCAAATTAGTCATTTCTGCTTGGTATGTTCAAATATGCTTGGTAAGTACATCGTCAACCGTTTGCCTCCATACTTTTTTAAGTTTTGTAAAACATCAATAAACGCTTAATCTTACGTCTGTTGCTTCTTTAAGAGAGAAAGTCCAAGCATCTGAATTAGCTCCCCAATACAATCCACTTTCATAAAACTGGTAAAAGGTGTCAATAGGTTTTTCGTACAAAGGTATGGCCATTATACTGGAGAGACCACTGCTGTAAATGCTTGACAAAAACAGATTTAGTATGAACATCATAGCCACGAAAAATCGACCGTTGATACCTTCCGGCAGCTCTGCATGAGTGATACTTTGTAGAGCAAACATTTTTAGGACGCTGAATACTGAGTGATCGAGTAGCTTGAGGTTGTCAATTGCGAAGTTCTGCCTACAAAAGAAAACGTAGAATATTTAAATTCTAATAATTATGCCATCTTGTAGAGGAGAAACGGTGGCGATGTTAATATGCAATTTATTTTGTAATCCCATTTTAAATTAAGTCAGGAATAAGTGATTTTGGGATAAATCTGGTATGCGAAAAAAATGACTATCAGATAATTACAAGGCCTACTCAGGAAATTATGTGTTTTTTTTAAACAACTAACTTTTGGCAATTAATATGAATGACGTATTATACATTTTTGGAGTCAGAATTGAAAACTCTATTCATCTGTGTAAAAATCCAATATGGCGTCTATAAGAAAAAATAAAGTTGATGCTGGAGGATAAGAGATGAAACGTCATAACGAAATTCTAACTATGCTATCTTCAAGAGAAGATGGAGTGGCAATATTAATGTGCAATTTACTCTGTTATACCGTTACAAATAAAGGCATGAGTAGATTAAAACGATTTTGGCAAAATTCGTTTTTTTCCGTCTGTCTCCGGGAGCACTTTGAATTTCGAAGCTTTCTAAGCGGCATTTTGTTGATTATCTAAGTACGCAACTCCTCTCCATTTGAGCGACTTCGTATCTTTCACAGTTTCCGAGATCCAGGGTCGAATTTGAAACACCCTGTATAACCGTGTTCCAGTATGATGTGAACAAAAAGTGATAAAAAGTTACTTACCTATATTTGGAATTTTGTATTTTTATCCTCAAATACTTGACGTAAAACATACTCGTTATGCATGCAATAAAGGACATACCCACAGCTAGCCACATTGTATCTGAGTAAGAGTATACTGGCGTAAGCCAGGCGGGTAGCATCCTAAAAGTTTACATGTTCCAGTTTTTTATTCTACAATTTTTCCTAAACTACTTAAAAAAATGATGTAAGACCTCGCATACATCTTTTGCAGCAGATTTCTGGATTTCAATTTTTAGTTAGATTATTTCTTAAAAAGTTGTAACATGTTAAACCAACTGCTTTGAAACTCACCTAGGAGCAGGTACAAGTAAAGGTGCACCTACTCTTATTATCATATTGCTCAGGTCGAGGAAATGGTAATCTTGTTCCCACATGTATAGAGCAGCTTAAAATTTGAAATTATTTATAATCAAGCACATCAAGTTGCCATCCGACTGGGTGATTTTATTGCCCACGCAAGATTGTTCAAAATACTATTTTTCATCGTCCTATTTGCCATTATCTTTGATCAACCTATATTCGTCGTATAACAATAATGGTTAAGAATTAGGCCGAAAACCCAGCGGATTACCATTAAATACAATTTTCATCTCTTTCAAGCAATGTCTAAAATGAGCAGGATTCTCTGTAACGTTCTAACCCACGTATGGTATTTTTCTCTTTATACGATGGCCACGCTACATATTTTGAACTTCACGAAAACTAAAAACTATTTTTCGAAAACTAGTTTATTTATGTTCAAAGTATCAATGCAATTCTGTAGCCTGACCTTCCACAAATGAAATGCTTCTAATCAGTCAGTTTTTGGAATGCAAACTGATTAATTTTCATCTTCGGACGAAAATTTTCGACCACGCAGTTTTTTTTCAGATTGTTGAAGAGTTAGATGTCACACATTGCTAAATCTGGCGAATAAGGCGGATGTTCTAGCATTTTGATGTGGCGCTGGCGACATCAGTAAGCTGATGTGACACCCATCTCGCACTGAAGATGATCATGCAAAATTGTGTGCACTGTTGCGGATCCTACCCCAAGAATTGCCTCTATAAGCGCATATGTGCAGCGAGAATCTTCTTCAATTAGTCGCTGAACTTTAGCAATATTTTCTGGAGTCACTCTAGAGGTCTAGAGCATGGCCTTCCACTACATTCTTCATCAGCCAATGAAACACGGCCTCTTTTAAATTCGGCGTACCAACGAAACACACTTGCCCGGGACAGAGCTTTATTACCAAATGCTTTTCGTAACCGTTCGATACATTGATGTTCAGTTAAACCGACTTTAAAGTTATAGTAAATCATAGCACGATAACTCTCTCGAGACAACTCCATGTTTCGTCTTAAATTTGTTTACTCCACGTGCACCATAAAATGCTTGCAAATGAACTGAATGCGATGATTTACTAATAAAGAACTGCTCTTCCTAATAGTGCACTGTTGCCGGTTTTAACTAGTATAGTTAATGCACATCTCGGAATATACAGCATGCCCCTCGTATATTGTATATATATATATATATACAATTGGCCTGAAGGCCCATGGCTTCTTTTTTGACAACATCAGTTATTTATTAGTTTGCCTTCTCCATGTACGACCGTTGTTCTTTGTGCCCCCTTATATTTTGCGTAACATTTTTCTTACCCAGCGTTCTAATTTCTGTACGTTTTACTGTACTGTACTGTACTGATGGTTCGATACCGGATTTATAAATATTTTCCTTTGATTTCCTTGATATCCATCTTGCTTAAAGCCCCCTTTGTTTTACTCCCTTTTGCAGTTCTTTATTTAATTTCTAAATCTTTTTCTGGTTTATTTGTCATTATAACCCCAAGATATTCAAATTGATTCACCTTCATGAAACAGTATTTTCTGTAACTACTTTTTATTGTTAACTTTCTTTAGTCGCTTCCTCTCATTTCTAGGTATTTTGCTTTGTCTTTATATGAAGCCCAAAACGTTTGGCAGTTTGTTCTAACCTTCTAAACGTCTTTTGAAGTTCTGTTTCGGATCCCGTTGTTGTTGCTATATCATCGGCATAAAAAATTAACCCATGTTTTCTGTAGTAAACAACTCCGTCGGTTTGTATACCACAATCACGTAAAACCGCTTCCAGTAAAGTTAAACAGTGTTGTTAGATAGGGGGCTTCTTGTCTCAGGCCTGTCCTTACGTCAAAAGCTCTAGATGTTTTTCCATCCAATGTGACTTTGTTCATTATCCTGTTTATTGTCATTGTGATTAATCTTATTAAGCTTATTTTGTATTCCTAACAGTTTATAGCTTCATATAATTCTTCTCTGTCAATGGAATCATACGCTTGCTTGAAATCAATAAATGATGCGTGTAAACCAAGATTTTGTTCATAGCTATTGAACTATTAAGCCTGCTATAATATTTGAACTTCGGTTCACAAGTTTTCTGTTACTTAAAGATATCTGCACAACACAAATCCATGTTTCTCATTTATGTCGGTTTGCCAGTCCGTGTCTGTTGTATTTGTGTATTAATGCATCATAAGTACTGAGTCAATCTACTTGACGAGATATTCAGAGAACCATCATAGACGGAAGGTTAGGCGAAATGGGTGGTACATATAAGGATCATAAAATTCTGATAAAAACAGTCATCATTTACAAAATCATCGCAGAACGCTAAAGTGTTGCGTACTCCCAATATCCAAATATTGCTAAAATATATAAATATTTCTCCTGTAGCGGTGTGTCAGCGACAACACCACCGTAGACCATTTGGAGGTTATTACCGATCTCTCAGTCGGCAGTGGCGTCCACGACGATGAAGCATCGCGCCATTCACGCATCGCCAACGATGGTCAAGTTATTTCGTATAATGGGCACATTTTATATATATATATATATATATATATATCGGACTTATCATTTAATTTTCCCGTTATTACCCGGATCATAAACTTCCGGGTCAACTTCTTAATGATATGTCTATGATTAATACTAAAAATGTTACAATTACATCCCCCTACCCCCTACAACCGTCAACCCCCAAATCTCACAAAATATTCTCCGAAAATGATCAGGAGTCTCTACAACATCAAAAAAAGAAGTTTGTATGGAAATTTCGTTAAAATCTGAGCGACATTTCTCAAGTTATAGGCGGTTATAG